TTCTCCATATTTTTTTGGTTATGAGTTCTTGGTCTTCTGTTCTCAGAGTTCGCTGTTGCTAATCCTTTCTGGTCGACTGTTTGATTTTCATAATAAAGGAGATGGTGACCGGAGTGGATTTTTTACTATATAGTTAAAGATTTTCAGAGTCCACTTCCACTTCATCTGCTCTCACGTATTACTAGCAACTCAATGCTATGTCTTCTCGTCTATCCTTACAATCTGAGACTAACATGCAGTTACGGTTCATTGTTAGTGATATTCTGTCTTCCATCAAGATATGACACCACCCAAGTATCCATTATTCCATGACTAAAACTACATTGAGTTTAGCTATCTCCTGTTTAAAAGCACACTGTCTATGTGTAATAGCCACTCATCAAGTCCGTTGAACGCCTTTCAAACAACTGTTCAACCTTCATTCCTCACATTCAAACTTTATTTCAAGAATACCCATTGCCCTTATCCATTTCATACTATCTTTGTATTTACAGTCAACTCACCAGATTTGTCACAGAAATACCACTCATTTCGTCAGCCTATAACTAATCCGTTATTCTATGTGAAAACTGTATCCATCGTGTAACCTGCTGTTATTGTTACCGTATAACTTTATCAGCCTGAAGGGAATGCTTTGAAGAGAATATTCCGTGTTCCGACCGTCTTCTAACACAAGAATAAGTTATTGAAGTGAAGAAATTTTCATATGAAATAATGCCAAAGTTTACCTTATCTGTCTAACTAATTATACTTTCTTTGAAGAAAATTTTCTACATTCCGTAATAAAGTTCAATTTGTTTGTAATACTGACAATCACGCCATGACTACGTGTACATCAGTAATTAAAGGTATTTGGAAATGGTCCGATATCTTCGCATCGTTTATTTGTTGATTTGAATCTATAGAATTATGAGTATTCTCCCTATGTTGTTTGCTCGTAGTTTGGCATTCACGTCGCCATTTCGAATCCTGACCATAACTCTAGCCCTTCGTAGCTGTCTCGACAAATTTCTAAAATATTTGTGTTGCAATCATTTTAATAGTAATATTAGTATTTCAAGATGACCGAAGTACAAGAATCCGAACAAAACACAGAGAGGGATGAATTTAGAAATTTGTATTTGGCGGAATTATTAGGCCATTCATATAACAAAAATATATTAACAAGCAACAGTAAGTATTTAAACAATACAGAGATAGATATTGTCAAACAACACATCCGCCACACGTCGAATATCTCCTTGCGTATTTATAACGAAGTCTCGTTTTGCTTGCAAGTAGCTGCAACCTTCTAACTGATTCTGTGATATCATTTTCATCACTATTATCTGGAATTATTTCCGAATTATCTACAAAATCAGGATTAGTAGCGGAATCATTAAAATTATAATCGGAACGACCTACTTCATTTATTCTCACTTTGTCCAGGTGTCTGATATGAGCTGAGTGATCTTTCATATCCAATATCTTCGCCATTCGATTTCTCACTTTTTGTAGTATGATTCCAACAGAAGGTCTATAGTCATTCCCTCTGTAATAATGTACATTAGAAGTCGTGGACATCAGATTCTTCCTGAGTATTATTATTATTATTATTGTATCCTTTAGTTCCTAGAGGAACATAGGGCTTCAGCTGCGCACCTCCATTGACTTCCGTTTTCCTACAACTTTTTCAACCTGCTCCAGGTCTGTCCACATTCTTTCATCTCCTCCTCGCATGACCTCCTCCAAGTCACCCTTGGACGACCAACTCGCCGCCTCCCTTTCGGGTTCCACTCGAGCAATGGCTTGTCTAGTGATGTCACTTGATGGTTTCCTCAGCGTATGGCCAATCCATCTCCATTTCTTCCTGCCTATTTGTTTCACAATCGGTTCCTGATTGGTTCGCTCCCAGAGATCCCTGTTGCTGATCTTTTCTGGCTGGCCATCTGATCTTGAGTATTGAGCGGAGACAGTTGTTAATGAAGGTTTGAAGTTTGTTTGAGATGCTCTTTATGACTCGCCAAGTCTCTGATCCGTAAAGTAGCACTGACTTCACATTGGAGTTGAAAATCTGGATCTTATTTTTGATGCTGATTGCTGTTGACCTCCACACAGATTTGAGAGAAATGAAGGCTTGTCATGTTTTCCCTATCCTTGCTTTGATATCCTCATCAGTTCCGTCCGCCTGTAGTTGAGACGATGCTTCCCAGGTAGGTAAAGGAGGTTGTTTCTTTCAGGTTCTTCCCATTTATGCTTATTGTGGTCTGTTGGTGTTGTTGATGTTGGCTAGGAATCTTCATTATCTCTGTTTTATCTATGTTCACGTGAAGTCCTATCTTTGATGCTTCTTCTGCCAACTTGTTACTTTTCACTTGCATATCTTCCAGTTTATGGGAAATCAGACATATATCATCGGCGAAATCCAGATCCTCCAAGTCTTTTGTGTCAGTCCATTCTATGCCTGTTCCCTCGTTGGTTGCCGTTGTCTGTCGCATTATCCAATCAATTGCAATCAGGAAGATCATTGGTGATAGTAGACAGCCTTGCCTCACTCCCGTCCTCACTTTGAAGGCTTCCATAAGTTTCCCGTCGTGGATTACTTGGCATGCACCATTGTCGTATAACTGTTGGATGAGAGGCATAATTGTCGATGGAACCCCGTAGTAGCGAAGTAGTTGCCAAATGACCTCTCGATCGACGCCGTCGAAGGCCTTTTCAAAGTCGATGAAGTTGAGTGAGGTAGAGAGGTGACTGCCCTTTCAAGCTTTGCTCAATGATGATCCGTAGAGTGGCGATTTGATCAATACATGATTTGTTTCTCCTGAATCCAGCCTGTTCCGGACGAAGTTTTTCATCTAGGGCTTGTTTGATTCTCTCCAGGATGATGCGACTTAGTATCTTGCTTGGAATGGACAGAAGCATAATTCCACGCCAGTTTTTACGTTGACTTAAGTCTCCTTTCTTTGGAAGTTTGAATAAGTAACTGTTCTTCCAATCCTCAGGTACTTTGCCCTCTTTCCACACCTTCTCCAGTAGTGGTGTCATCAAGTCCGCTGTTGTCTCTGGGTCTATTTTCAAAGCCTCTGCTGGGATTCCATCTGGTCCCGGTGTTTTCCCAGCTTTAAGCATCTTGATTGCATTCAGGACTTCTGATTTCGTCGGGGGGTCAGTGTTCACTGGTAGTTCTGCTTCCGTTGTTGGTATTGCTGGACGTGTTGTAGGTGGCGGACGATTTAGAAGTCTTTTGAAGTGTTCAACCCAGTGCTTTCTCTGTTCCACCTCTTTGGTGATTGACTTTCCATTGTCGTCCTTTATTGGCTTAATCTGTGTCGAACGTTTGCCCGAAAGGTTCCTAGTTGTTTGGTAGAGTGTGGCGAGGTCTCCTTTGCCTGCAGCTTGTTCTGCTTCGTTTGCCATGGTTTCATAATATTTTCTTTTGTCTTCCCTGGCACTTTTCTTCACTCTTTTGTTCAGTGTATTGTAGCTTGCATTCAGCTCCTGTTTTTGTTGCTCGTCAGTGCATATTGAAGGCTGTCAACCTGATGATGAAGGTTAATAACACTAAATATTGGTCCGAGACAACATCTGCTATTCTTATCGATATTGTGTCCAGCAAGCTACATCGCCATTTCCTCAGATTTTAATGAGACCTATCTGATTTTCAGTGTCCCTAACTGGTGAAACCCATGTCGCCTTGTGCACATCGTGGTGCCTAAACACGCTGCCTCCAGTCAACAAATCAGTGAATTACCAGAAGTCTCTGAAGGGTTCTCCATTCTCACACATTTTCCCGAGATCCTTTTAACCCATGATGAGTTCTCTCCCTATGTTGTTTGCTCCCAGTTTGGCATTCATGTCGCCATTTCGAATCCTAACCATAACTGCAGTCCTTCGTAGCTGCCTCGACTATTTTCAAAAATATTCCATTTACTCCCTTACGATATCTTCCATTTCACCCTTGGATGCGCAACTCGTCATCTTCCGTTCGGATTCCACTCGACGGTCTGACACGTGACACCACCCGGCAGTCTCCTCAATGTGTGTTCAGTTCACCTCCATTTCCTTCTCCATATTTTTTTGGTTATGAGTTCTTGGTCTTCTGTTCTCAGAGTTCGCTGTTGCTAATCCTTTCTGGTCGACTGTTTGATTTTCATAATAAAGGAGATGGTGACCGGAGTGGATTTTTTACTATATAGTTAAAGATTTTCAGAGTCCACTTCCACTTCATCTGCTCTCACGTATTACTAGCAACTCAATGCTATGTCTTCTCGTCTATCCTTACAATCTGAGACTAACATGCAGTTACGGTTCATTGTTAGTGATATTCTGTCTTCCATCAAGATATGACACCACCCAAGTATCCATTATTCCATGACTAAAACTACATTGAGTTTAGCTATCTCCTGTTTAAAAGCACACTGTCTATGTGTAATAGCCACTCATCAAGTCCGTTGAACGCCTTTCAAACAACTGTTCAACCTTCATTCCTCACATTCAAACTTTATTTCAAGAATACCCATTGCCCTTATCCATTTCATACTATCTTTGTATTTACAGTCAACTCACCAGATTTGTCACAGAAATACCACTCATTTCGTCAGCCTATAACTAATCCGTTATTCTATGTGAAAACTGTATCCATCGTGTAACCTGCTGTTATTGTTACCGTATAACTTTATCAGCCTGAAGGGAATGCTTTGAAGAGAATATTCCGTGTTCCGACCGTCTTCTAACACAAGAATAAGTTATTGAAGTGAAGAAATTTTCATATGAAATAATGCCAAAGTTTACCTTATCTGTCTAACTAATTATACTTTCTTTGAAGAAAATTTTCTACATTCCGTAATAAAGTTCAATTTGTTTGTAATACTGACAATCACGCCATGACTACGTGTACATCAGTAATTAAAGGTATTTGGAAATGGTCCGATATCTTCGCATCGTTTATTTGTTGATTTGAATCTATAGAATAAATTTATATATAAATATGTCAGAATTTACGCTAATACACATAAACATGGCTTTCTCTTTGTTATCAGTAGAAATCAGTGCGTTCTTCGTTCTCCTCTGTTTATCTCTAATGACAGGTAGGTGCTGGTTAGTTTTGCTGTGTTTATGTTCCACTAATATTTTGAAACTGCCTTAAAATTAGAGAACTCATTTCTGAAAACTGCTTGTACAGTGTTTGATAATCGGTGATTTGTGTGAATATATGAACCACTCCATTCCATCAGATCTATCAGACGTCGATATGAATATTATTTTCTGATGAACGCGATGTACGGTGTGACGACCCAGTCTAGTCACTTATCTAACACATACTGATAACACGAACTCGCATACATTTCAAACATTTTTGTTGCACAAATCGTTTACACTGGTGATTTTAGTTTCATGACTACAAACTCATCTTAAGTCGCATCAGTTTGAAACACTCACTCCGTGCAGATTTAGTGCACAAGATAAGCATTTAGGTGGTCTCCACACGAAATAATAGGTAAATGATTCTCCCTCACTGTCGATTAACTGATTCGTACAATTATGAATATTCACAGTTGCGCGTATTACTAATAAATTATTCCTCGTTTTCTGAAGCTGTTCAACCAAATCAGCAACACAGTGAGTCATTGCACATTGAACGGTAATTTAAGCGTTCATGTTGCCATTAGTCTGCTATAATCCAATTGTTTCTGACTTGTATATTCTTTTGAAATGTGAAGTTGCTTGTCGAATGTCCAGTCAACTCAGGAATCAATATTCTAGAATTCTGCAATGTCAAACTTTCGAATATTGCTCTCCACAATTATTAGTTTGTCAGCTCATTTCAGGCTATTATCGAATAGTCTGGTGGTGAGGCATCATGCAAATCCTGCAAGGAAATGCAGCAAGTGAAACAACTTCATCTAATCCAGCAGGATAATAGCGTTAAACCTTGAGAATCTGTACTGTGTGGATATGCGGGAATCGGCTTCACCATTTCATATTTGCTAACAGTGAAAAGCTAAATACTCAATGTATTCACATTGGGTAGGTGATTGTGGTGCAAAGCTAGTCAGTTTCTGTCTGTGACAGTTAACCCCTGAATGAGGCTAGAGAACTAGGATTCTCGAGTAGGACAAAAATTACTTCTTTTGGAGTGGGTTAGACGATATTTCAAGTGGTATCGTTCTGTATTCTCAAGTGGGATATTCTCTTCAATACGCTACTCACTGAACATATCAACCAGTATTATTCATTCTCAAAAAATGGGAAACATGCTGGAACACACATTCTGTATGTCACTCATTCTTGAAACTGAACAAGTCATAGCATTCAACCAAGCTTAATCGAATGAACTGACGCTCAGCCTTCTTGTTTTGAAGATACGGAACAACTTCTTCAATGGGTACGCGTCTTAGATCCTATCATCGCCTCTAATGAAAGTAAGCAAATTCTTTTCAATATACTTCATTATTCGATGGATTTGCTTAACATTTGACGAAGTGTTGAAGTCCCTGTTCATTAAATACATTTTTATTTTTATTTGTGGAATGATTTATCGTATTCTCTCCGAATTTGCATTTATCTGAATTTGAGGATGTTCATGGAGGCATGCGCAGCGTGTAACACTGGAACCCTCTGTGAATGTAGACGAATTCAGCGTGACTAATGAACAGATTTGGCATTTGCCAGAATTCCTATGTACATTATAAATTCATTTGTGGAACATTTGCAATTGTTTTACAGGACGTATAATAGAGATGAATAATCAGAAAGCCGATATGGAAGGAGAAGCGAACAGATTGGAAGGTGATTTTACCAGCCTGCTTTTACTTACCACGTGTATTTTGTATGTTATTTCCTAATTTGTTGTGTCGGTGATGCTTCGACTCAATAGTGTCCGTGTGGTACATAAACTCTGTGATGGTGGTGGTGTTGTTGGTGGTTGTAGCATATAGTTGAAAATTAATGTTATTGTTGGACATATGACAGAGTGAAACAGGTTTATTCGCTGGATGATGTTTCGAGGGAAATTCAATATTCACAATGGTATAACTTGCAACTACGAGATTACTAAGCCCCACACTCAGCCTCCTATTTCTTTCCCGTCCTAATCTTTCGACAAATGTGAAGTGTTCACAGCCTCTAGTTATCCTTCCTACTAAGGATGGCAATGGTGTGATGTAGATTTACAATCAGTAATTCGATGATACTCATAGTATAACTAATAACAGTTTCTCAGTGTTTCGTACAAACATTTTGATTTTTGAAGTGATCGTGTGGTTTTGCATTATTAGTCGGTGTGAGACGTTAAATACTCCGCATACGAACATGCAGTAAATAATTATTGAATGCTGTTCAAATGTGTGTAAACACCAATACCTAGTGATCAGTGGAAACAGAGAACTGGTGATGCCATACTGCCGTCTGTTTTTTCATCGGCTTTTATTTCGATAGTTGGGAAGCGAGCCATATTGACAGCACTGTCTTCAATGTCTTGTAATGATGATTTATATTGCACGAGGCAATAAACTGTTTGTCTCTTTCCCACTTCAGACCGCTTGGAAGCAAAGGCCAGAAGAAGGCGCAAAAGTATCACTAGGTGTAAGTGAGCAAATTTAATCAATTTTGAGAAATAATCGTTCGTTTAGTTGTGAATTGTCTATACAATATTTCTGAATACTTCTACGAACCGGAAATTTACAGAGGTACGTGAAATGTTTTTTGTTCATCTTCAGCCTGCAAACAAAATGACTAGACCATTTAAATCCCTCGTTAAATGGACTTCGAATTAACGCCAATACTGAATTTCACCCAGATATGTGAAGGCTTACGTTACCTTTGTTTGAACAATATGTCTGAATAGTGCTACCTGTTCAGCTTGAGTATCTCATGGTTAGAAATTTATCGCCTTTTATTATCCCACTTGTTGTCTATCTTGAATCTGTCGTGTATTCATTTGTTTCGTCAGGGCTTTCACAGACCATCAGAGAGGTACAGCAGTCATATGGTAAGTACGCCTTCCTAATTCAAAGCACATTCTGTTTGATGTTGTTCGCTTTGCATTTCAATCGGCGAGTTGTCAAGGCTGATTTTTGAGAGCGATTAGGTTGACTCACTCTACTGCTATTGGAAGATGAGCGTACGTGTGGCAGACTGTTTTCAGCTGCTTAAGATGCTTCTCCCATATTTCACTATCAGTCACTTGGATACAACCAGTATAAGAGGGTGTAAGCGTATCTAGCATTTTATCCAATCTCTGTGCAATGATAAGTAATGTCGAAAAATGTTGACAAAACAGACTCAGTTGATTTATTCGCTGAAAAGCCTGAACTACAGGCCAGTAATATCTGCCAGATGAGGAGACAAAAATGAAATTATCCATTGAATTTGTGCCATTCGATCAATGTTACAGGTGATTTTCAAACTACTGATCGATAAATATTCTGTTCTCTTTGCATTTTATTCAGGGACTTACTTCTACATACCTCAAAGCAGAGACCTCTGGAGGGAATCGTTAATCCATGGATCTCAATGTAAGCATTGATATTACAGGGTGAGCAGGTTGACTCCCCATCCGCTTACGGTTTCTCGTTCTTCTGACTCAGTCAAACATCGCTGTGATCGAATCCACCATATTTAACTGGTAGCCTAGTTATTATTGATAGTGAAAACGCGTGACTGAAAGACAGATGTGCCTATCTGTTGGATATTTGAGTAAATTCGTCAGTCACTCGACAATAGTTGACATCTAGTGATGATTTCGTATAAGTCTGTTGTCATTTTGTGAACTAGTGTCAGTGTGTCGGGACTCGGTATGTTTGTGAGATTGTCAAAAACAAAACAGGTGATTACTCTCCGATGCTATGCACTACAATCGTTGTGTGGATGAGTACGTCATTTTGAATAGTTGATGCCAAGCCACTCACAGTGGGGAATCAAGCTGTAATCGAAAACAAAATAAAATAAATAAAGATTCTAAACTTCAAGTATCTCTCTCTTGAGACCAGTCACTAATTGCTTACTCACCAAGAATCACGTTCAGCCTATCATCAGGTTGGCGAAATTCACAACCTACACGTACGCATATTTCAGATGTTATAATAAACAAGTAATGTGTTTGTATGTATTGACGTCTGTGTATTTCAGCCGGTCCAAGCCGTAAGTCAAATCACAGAATACTGATGATCACTAATACTAAACAAACCATGTTAATTGTAGCCGACGAAATACTGTCAATACTATCCTTTCTTCTTGATTAGGTAGCGGACAACAGCCGGATTTAAGTGAATGTAACAGTCGCCTGACGGTTAATCGCACTGAAGGTAATTCGAAACATGTCGTTGCTTTGTGGAAGAATGTTCCACAACTTTTATCCTTCGTATTTCGCAGACAGATGTTTGTCAATTTATTCGACTCAATTACAATTGATAGTGACTGTAATATTACGTTATTCGTAAACGATGAAGCTATTCGCCACAAAGAGAGAGTCTACTTACTTACAAGTACTCTAATGATTCTTCTTCCAGAGCACTTTCCACTGACTGTAATTTTAGGATTGTATTGCTGCCAGTATTGATGTTCCCTTGGGTTTCAAGTGGAACACAATGCTTCAGCAGAATATCTCTACCTCGTCCTACTCGCTTCAGTCCTATTCAGCTGGCCTCAAGACTGCCTATGGGTTCTCATCCGCTCTCCACAATACCTCTTCAATGTCACTACCCTCGAACACACAACCTTACTCGTCGATGCTCACTCAGGTTGTGCTCGAGCGATGGTATGGTGAGCGATGTCAACCTATAGTCTCCTTAGCGTGTGTCAGATGCATCTCCATTTTCTCCATCATATTTTTTGATCAGTGGGCTCCTGGTTGGTTCGTTCCTGGAGTTTGTTGTCGCGAATTTTCTCTGGCCATTTGACTGATTTTCAATATGTAGGTGACGATGCCAGATATTGATAAACGTTGGGTGCCTACTGGAAATGCTGTGACATATGTATGCATATATGTGTTCAGACTGCCTAGGGGAGGTTAACTGAGAATTGAACACTTCCTCGCTCAATGTTGTCGTCTTCGAAATTAGCAATGCCTTTTTTCGTCCTCATGTGTCCACAAATCATTATGCCTATCCATAAAATGTGTTTGCATTTTGCCTTCCTTTTCAGAAATAAATGAATTGACTCGACGGGTAATAAATCTCTGTGATTTTAAACACCAGCGGTTGATAGTTTATGGTAAGTTGAAAAATTTAGAGTCGAATATTTTGCAAGTTGCTTTCAACTGTCTAGAATTTCGTAAACGTTGAGTCAGAGGTGAGATAGCATTTCACACTCAGAATTTTCGCTCACTTTGCGGATACTTGTCTCGATGATTAGAAACGATGAACATACAATATTTTATCTATTTTCTCACGTGCAGCTGTTCAGGTTTACATATTAAGTAGGCATATTTTGACGATAAACTTCATCTTCTCTTTATAGAAACCAGATCAATTTATGAGAATGTTAAGATTAATATCAGGGTGAGTTTATGTACCAGAATCAATTCACACAATCCCTATGACAAAATCAGCCCACTTACCGTGTATCCCCCATCACCACATCTCATATCGCACTGAATAATGTCCTGTTGGTGTTTAGGGACAAGTAGATGAGATGTTTACTTCTAATGAATAACTTGACATTGTGAAGTGGAAATTTCAGGAATCGGTATTATAATTATATGGGTAGCTTCGGCTTCCTTCTGACTGATTGTTGTGGCAGTTAATTCACACGATGCTTTTAAGTGAGGTGCTTAATACACGTCTTGCTCATATTTGATGCGTGAAGAATATGATCCAGCGTATCAACTGGAGTACAATCGATTTGAGTAATTCAGTCATTTCAGACTGAAAATGTCGAAAATTAGTGGTTGATTCACTTTATGAAGCGTTTTTCATTCCTTCAGTATCGTCTTCAATTCTATTGAAACTACTCATTCATTCATCATTTTTGTATTGTTTTTTCTGTCCTTGAAGGGTATATACTACTCACTGACAGGAACTTTACTACCGTAATCGTGTAAGGTGAACATATGTATTCAACCGTATTCACGAATCATTTGAAGACAGTATGCTTCTTCTTTTCTCTTTCACTTGATTAAACACTTTAGTACTGATAAGTAGTCGTAACAGTAGTAGTAGCAGTGATAATTGTAAAAATAATGATAAAATTATTAACAATAATAATAATAATATTTTGGCATCACTTTGACTTCTCCCCACAATGTTCGAGAATGGCGGTGTGTAGAATTTCATAGTCATATTAGAGATGAAGTGACGGAAAGTTCACCTGTGTCTGTAGTTTTCCTCTCATTATAATTTAGTCCTATCTTACAATCATTTCTCATTATTGGTTTGGACATAGAAATAACGAACACATTTGCAGGATAATACGAGTTCGTTTAGTTCGGTGAATTCCCTTGAACTGCGAACATACTCAACTAAATCAAATTATAAGTTACAAAATGCTTGAGCACACTTTTCATGGTGACTTCGAGAGAGCAAGGTATAGTCAACATTTTGCTTGGAAATAAGGATTGACTGGAGAGAAGATACAAGATCGAAGAACAGAGTGTATTGATACATATTATGAATAAATAGTAGAGTCAAATTATGACAGATAAACAGTTAAGTGTATTCCGAAACTTACTGATGAGTTCCACTGAGAGAGTGAAAATCGAAATTAGGTGGAATGTTGCGAGGCAGAGTAGAACTCAAAGCACACGAACAAAATGGCACTAATTCAACTACTCACATCAATATCACTAGAGAACCAAATTCAATCAAATGAGCCTTTGAGCGTAAATGTTTGCAGGGGTAGAGGGGTGGATATATGAACTATTGTCTTATCAGAATGTTTGGCTTGATAATAAATTGTGAAATTAAGGTAAAGTTTGGTCATTATAATTCAATGCAGAGATAACAGTACAAGTGAAGACAATGAGAACAGAGGAGGAATACCAAGAGCGGATGATTGTTTTACAGTTTATTTGTTTTCGGACCTTACAAGTAAAGATCCAGTAATTTTAGTCTACAATATTCCACGAAGACAAGTTAACACTATATCGGACAGTGCATTATGATACAAGTGGAAGGTCATATAATAGTCAGTGAAATTTGCTTGTCATCCAAATCCCTCTAGAATTTACGATCAAACAGAACAGGAGATAACACGAAGTTAAGGAATTCAGTAATGTGTTTGGACTGGCTATTAGAGTGTCATTCGTGTATGCATAGGCGCATGATACCCTGAATGAAGCGCTGGAAGATTTGGGCGACTTCGTGTGGAGTAAGGAAGGTGAGAGGATTCTCGAGGAGATAGAAAATCGTGATGACGACAGCATCTAGCGAGTAACCGGGATGAACGAAGGCCAGGTGATGAGTTAGCTTAAATAAATGTAGGTTTGACCTTCAACTGTGCAGTGCTGTGATGCATATTTGGGACATTTGAAATTATGTGATCTCTGACACATTTATTTATCAAGTCGATTCATGTGAAAAATAAAGTGCAATCGAAACACAATAACTGATAAAAGGATTCAAAGAGAAGAATAATAAGAGCAATTTAAACTAAATTTGTTTTCCAATGGCTTGTTTTGTTGCTCTATTTGACGAAACTAGCGTACGCGTATATCCTAGTACTTCTTCGCCTTTATTATTGTGTCCTTTCGTCATGACTACTAGACATTTACAACGTAAATCAAAAGGGACTTGAGAAGGAGCACAAACGTGTATCACCACAGTAGTCAAAATTCAGAAGTTGAGCGAGTACAATGTACCAATTCCTAACACGCAATCTTTAGAGTGATACACAAACCAAAGGCCAATTACATAGTGAAAGTATACTACGATGATGATTATGATAAAATGTATCACTACAGACTATCGACTCAGCGTATTGCAATAAGCACATTTGTACAGTTTTATAAATAAAGCTTCAATAGAAATAAGTTAAACTGATAGTCTCTGGTACCAGATCGAAGCAGTGTAACTCTAGTCATCTCCTTGGTTTCATTAATGGCAAATTTGGAAGAATCGTACAATATATTTGAATTTGATAAACTGAGTTCAGTTTATCCGCACAACTATTCACTGTAATTGTCAGTACGAGACTTCATTAGACGAATAAGATTTTGACGATTCGGTCGCAGTTTAGAAGATCTCAGAGATTTGTAAAATGTCTTCGACAACATTCGACGTGAAAGACAAGATGTGTAAAAGTCCAACTTCACTTTGTCAGTTATTGTTTCATATTTCTGTAGGAGACTGTCTAGAGTGCTCAATAACATAACAGATATGCGAATAAAAATGCAAGTGAGTGAGAAGATGGTGTAACAATATATTATCAAAAATGCGGTAAAGAGTTATATTAACAAAAAGGTTACTTGGATATAGAGTTAAAGTTCGCTGCTATAAATTATTAATATAATCCACAGAAGCGTTCACTGTTGGAATCGTGTCCACTGGTAGAAGCAGCGTACCGGTTGTAGAGTTGTCTTCTGATAAGGATAAATGATTCCTGCAATAAATCCAAAGTATACAACACGGTGTGAGTGGAGCAAGTAGACAGTAATGGCCAGTGAGAAGGCGAAGCTTCCAACAGTATAATGTATTTTGTATTGTACACGGAAGTAATATCTATTTAAACATGAATCGTTTTAAACAAGAATCATGTACAATGTCTCTAATTTCAACAACTAACAAAAAGTGTACAATCATATTGGTACGTACTCCACAAATTTGTTTGTGTTTTTCATCCTAACTATTTATAGTGTCTTAGAGGAAACATAGTGTTACACATAGACAGTGTGAAATAATCGATAAGACTCCTTTTGTCATCTGCAGAAATTCATTCCTAGAGTTAATTGCTGCAGAATGACATTTGAACTTAAGGTTCGATAAATCAAGTTATATTATAGCCAGTTTCTGATTATGAGCAGTATTTAAATTCTGAACTTTAGTTACTACTGAAGCTTTCTTGTTAGTGTACCCAAAGTTATTAAATCAGTAATTCTTAACTGATTAGAAATGCCCATTAAAATTTTTCAATAGAATGGTTACTGAACAAAGAATATTCTTTTCGATAATATGCCCTTTATCAGGTTCTATAGTTATATGAACATAATAGTCAGTGAATTAGTGTTATTAACAACATTGATGTTTGAAGTACGTCGAATCAATAATATCTACCAACGCACCTGCATTTGTTGAGCGAGTTATATCGACCGTTGCTATAGGAACTCGATTTTTCATGCTCAAGAATATCTGCCAGTGTGGCTAAGTAAAGGTGTAGTAACAACCATCAACAGTTTGATATTAGACCACCTGGCCCTGAACGGCGGTAAAGCCAGCATTTAAGAGTCTTTCTCTATCATCTACCGGGTATCTAATAAGTTGCCAAAAACACCCAGGTACCACATACTCTAAACAGTAGAGGGTATTGGGATTCGCATGAAACTAACAGTGCTTTGTGTGCATAAGAAGCAAGTTCAGCCAGCCATTACTGCTGTTCTGGCCTTCAATGGAGACTATAAATTCATGAATTTGTATTATTATCTTTCCTAGGTATTTTTTGATATTCAGTATATTGTTATGTTGATGCTACTGAAATGTAATCTATTGATATTATCGTTGATTTGATGTTATTTAAACAACACTAATGTTGTTAATTGTGTCAGTGGCATAGGGGTTGGGATGCTTGCCGACCATGCACATGGTCCGGGTTTCGATCTCCGGCCGCCAACGCCCTCCTTGACCTCGCTAAGCCATAAATAATGCTGGTAAAGAAGAAAAGTTTGGCATGAGGCTAGCAACCACATCCTGTAAAAATAAACACTGCTACAGAAACTTCAAGCCACTAGCTTGAAGCCCTATGTTCCACTGGGAACGTGAAGGAAAAAATACGCTGTTAATAATACTAATTCATGAATTGTTATGTATGTATAAATGTAGAACCTGATTATGAAGTTATCGAAAAGAATATTCTTTGTTTAGTAATCATTCCTTTGAAAAAACACTAATTTTTTTATTTTTTATAGTTCAGAAGCCAGTTCTCCGACCATCCATTTGGTGGGTCAGTCTAAGTGAAAACAGTGGTGATTCCTTTTCATCTAACCATTTTAGTTTTAACAGAAGCAAATAATATTTGGACATATTGACAGAGAGACTACTCTTCTGAAAGCTGTTCAACATGACAGTCACTTATTAAGTTCGCATACTTGGTTCTAACCTCGCCTAGATTACTAGCGCGCTAGCTTTCTTGCAGGTCCATAGCCCGGGTAAAGAGGGAGGGTTGGGGCGTGGTGTTAGCATCTCCACCCCTGTAAATCAACCAAATCGCTACAGAAACTTCAACGAATAAATATATTAAAAATTCTAAAAACATAAGGAATAGCCTTACTTTTCGCTGGAATCGGGGAAGTGAAATGACGTAGGCTGGTGAAAGCCTTCGGGAAGCCAGTTAGCCGATGTGCCCTCTTTCGATGAAAGCAAAAGTAAGGATGGGTACCTGGAATGTTCGCACAATGTACGAAACTGGAAAGGCTGCCCAGATAGCCGCTGAAATGAGAAGGTACAGAATAGAAGTGTTGGGAATCTGCGAGAGCAGATGGAACGGAACTGGAAGGTGCCAACTGCCTACTGGAGAGACAGTAATCTATTCCGGCCACCTAGAGGACAACCATGAGCACACCGAGGGAGTGGCCATGATGATGTCACCAACAGCAGCCAAAGCTCTCATGCAGTGGGAACCAATCTCCTCCTGGATAATGACAGTCAATTTCAACTCCAAAGGAGGGAAGATTACAATCATTCAATGCTGTGAGCCTACAAACGTCTCAGAACAAGAGAAGAAGGAGGTGTTCTACAGGCAACTACAAACAGTAATGGACAACGTCCCTAATGGCGATATCAAAATCCTGATGGTTGATATGAATGCGAAGCTGGGAGGAGACAACACAGGAAGAGAACTCACCATGGGTCGAGAGGCCCTCGGTGAAATGAACGACAATGGTGAACTCTTTTCAGACTTCTGCGCCTTCAATGATTTGGTGATTGGTGGCAGCGTTTTCAAACACAAGGATATACACAAGACGACATGGATTTCACCAGATGGAAACACCAAGAACCAAATAGACTTCATCTCAATTTCAAGAAAGTAAAGACGGAGCCTACTGCACACAAGGTTGAGGAGAGG